TAACCTCTCGTCTCTGGAAGAATATAAAGGTCAACTAGATACTGTTAAAGGTCTAATTGATAGTTACGAAGGTAACGGCAATATAATATTAGCAGGTGACTTCCAATCCTTTCCTCACCAAATGTATGATTTATTTGAAAGATCAAATTCTAAAAGAAATAGTTATTCTGTGCACTTATCGGAATTTTTAAAAACAAATCAATTAGAACTAGTAGATGTAACTAAAGGTTCTGGCCCTAATTATACATATCGACACCAGACACTACCGAATTCGTCATATATTGATCACTTCGCCGTATCAAAATATACAAGTTTTATAAATCTTAAATGCATTGTTCATCCTGAATGCTCAAATAATTTGAGCGACCACCTACCACTATCAATATCAGTTGAAGTTAAGTACACCGAATGCAATACCATTGAACTAGCAGAAGATACTAATATACCTAGCTACGCTTGGAACGATTCTAACTTTATAAATTCTTACAATGTTCATTTAACCAATCGCTTTAACAATCTTAATTTTACTAACGATTATGAATACGACCTTCTCCAAATCTATAAAAAAATTACTGACAGCGCTCAAATAGCTTTTAAGGAGACTTTAAAAAATAAAAATCAATGTTTGTATTCAAAATCTTGGTGGACACCTGAATTAAGTCGGTCTAAAACTATTCTTTCAATTCATTTTAAAAAATGGAGAGATTCTGGTTTTTCTAAAGAGTTAAACTCGGTATCATTTAACCGTTACCAAATGGCTCGTAAAAACTTTCGTAAAGCCGTCAAGTCGGCTCAAAATAATAAAATTTGCGCACAATATATTAAAATTGAAAAGTTAAAAAATACTAAACCAAAAAACTTTTGGAATGCTTTTAGATGTTTAAACAAAGACATAAATTCTAGATTATTTACCATAAATAATAAAAAAGACAAAGAATCTATTACTTCAGAATTCGCAAACCACTTCGAAAGAGTACTGAATACTCCAAAAATAACTCATCATAAAGAAAATCAGAGAATTCCCCCGTGTACAAAACATGATGATGTAACAATAACTGAAGAAAATATAATTGGGGCTATTTCAAATTTAAAATTAAAAAAATCTCCTGACTCTTTCGGTATCTCAGCAGAACATTTGAAATACGCAAAGTGCGATACTTTAACAAAATGGCTCATCAAATTTTTTAATTACTCCATTAATTATGGATCGACTCCAATATCAATGTCGACGTCAACTATTGTACCCCTTGTTAAATCGTACAAAAAGTCTTTAGATAGCCCGAGCAACTATCGTGGTATTAGTATTATACCAATTTTTACAAAGGTTCTAGAATACCTGATCTTAATTATATGTCCGGATATTAGAGATACTCACTCCCTACAATTTGGATTCAATGCTAACTCTTCAACGCTACATGCTGAATTTCTAATAAGCGAAACAATTAAACATTACAACAGCAACCATTCCCCTGTGTATCTATGTTCTTTAGATGCAGAAAAAGCTTTTGATAGCTGTAACTGGAATATCCTATTTGAAAAATTATATTTCGATAAAAAATTACCACTATGTATAGTTAACACTATCTCCTCGTTGTATAACAATAGTAGCGCAACAGTCTCATATCAAGGTTGTAAATCAAACTCTTTTCCTCTAAACCAAGGAGTAAGACAAGGATCAATTCTTTCGCCTCACCTCTATAATATTTACACTGAAAGTCTTCTCGAAACTATTAAAAATCAAGGTATTGTTGGCACATCTATAAACGGTAACTTTACTGGAGTGGTAGCCTATGCGGATGATATAATACTTTTAAGCTCTACCTTATCTGGTCTCAAAAAGCTTATAAAAACATGCAATATTTACAGTAATCTAAATTGTATTAAACTGAATGCCGAAAAGACTGAGTTCTTGATCTCAGGTAAAGCCCAAATACAAACTAATACAATAACAATTTCTGGTAATAAAAAAAATCTTCAGAATAAACTTAGACATCTGGGATTCACATGGGATACTAAACATTCAGTTTTTGCATCACTCGGTTATTCAAATGTTGATGAAAAAATATCAAACTTTAGAGCTGTTGTTCAAACTCTTATTCAATCTGGAATCCGGTTTGCCCACCCCAGTTCTATTTCCTATATATATAAATCATTGGCAGTCCCCACCTTAACTTATGGTATGGAGCTATGTGAAAATAATCCTGGTCTGATGAAAAAGCTAGATATAATTGGAAGGAGTGCGCTAAAATCGTTTTTAAATGTTTCAAAACATAGTAAAAACTATATGAATTCGTTATTTAAAATCCAGGAAATTTCAAAAAGTGTTCAACAAAATAAGTTAAACTTGTTCCTTCGACTTCTTAATAACAAAACAACTGCAGACATTATCTTTTCACAACTGCAACACCCGTTATTTCAACATTCGTTTGTTAGTGATATTCAGGAACTATGCCATCTTCAGATATTAAATTTTCAAAACCTAACTCAAAATAAAAAGAAGGTAAAAATACCACTTTCTAAAAGTAAAATTCCTTCCGAAGTTGAACGAAACTTGAAGTATGCAATAGAGTGCTGGAATGCAAAAGAGCAAAGAGGAGTTTTCAAGCAAATTCTAGAAGAAAACGTTTTTAAGCAAAGTCATCCGAAATAACTTTCTTATTTTTTTCTTTTTACCTTGTAAATTGGGTGTTAAATATATAAAATAATAATAATGCAAATATACAATATACTAACATTTTAATACTCAATATGCTGAAGATTTGAAAAATACATTTTACATAAATTTTTAGTAGAATTTTAGAATGTTGTCCATACAGAGAATGAAGTTTTTTAATTTAGTTTTAAAAACAGGAAGAGTAGTAGAAGGGTCAAAATTTGGTAATACTATTTTATTCCAAAGATGGGGTGCACGATATGCAATACAGAATTGGTTGAACTTCGTTTTACAAAATGGTTCATTTAGAAAACTATTACTTCTTAATGTGTATTTATTTATTGGTTTTAAAGAAAAAAGGTCATTGAAAACAAATAAAGATAAATCGTTTTTCCACATAAAAGTAAAACATAAAACATTAAATATGTTAAGTTTATAAACATCTAGTACATTCATATAATCAAAAAAATATTTCGAACGTGAAAAGCGATCCGCATAATTAACTACACGGATTGCATGTTTCTGACGGCGATAAAGATGTTGTAATTTACTTTTCTCCGTACTTCCCCAGGCTATGATTGCATAATTTATATAATTATGTATAAATGAATAATAGAGCTGGGTTAAGTTTTTTTTGTTTAGATAATTTCGAGCTTTGTATAAAATGCCAATATTTTTAGAAACTTTGGTGCTTATATGATCAATATGCTTTCTCCAAGTAATATTTTCATCAAGATAAACACCTAAGAATTTTATAACAGTATCTCTTTTTATTATAGTTTCATCAATGTAAATTTGAGGCATATTATTTGTTAAAAATCGTTTTTTTTGCGCAGGAGTGAAAAATAATCCATTTTGTTTTGTTAATATTTAAAGTTAATTTATTAGCTTTGAACCAGTTCGAAATGTGTTTGAGTTCTTTGTTTGTAGTTGAAAAGAGTTCATAAATTTAGTACATTTAAATAGTTCATAAATTTAGTACATTTAGTACATTTAAAATTCAACTTGTGAGAAAATCCACTTCGTTTATCGTTGTCATCTGTAAAAACACTACAACTGCTACATTCTGGGCAACTGCCAATATTATCGATAACTTTTTTTTTAAATAGAGAAGTTTATTATAATGTTATAATTTTCTGAATAACTATAATTATTAGCTTTTATTAAAAAGACTTTGCTGGCGCTAACATTTTCGTTTTCTTTTATGGTATGTGTTTTTTTCTACTGGTTGCCACAAAATGCTCTTTTTCTTTTTGAACACTTTTTTTTTTTTTGCTTCTTATTATATATAATATCCTAATATTTTAAAATATATAATATGAAACTTATAAGTTATACTAAAAAATAAGAAAAATACAAAGCTTTTCAAATACAACAATAAATTATCACAGAATGGCATCAGGGAGCGTATTCAGCAAACTTTTTTTTTGCGTAAGTTTGGCATAAGTTTGGCGTAAGTTCAAAACAGTGAAATCCGTATTCACAAAATTTGCGCAGTTGCGTTAAACAAAACTTACGTACGTTTTTTGGTAACTTCTGCGGTATTCACCAAGCTGAAATGGTATTCACCAAACTTTTTAAAAACTTGCTCAGCTCAATTTAAGCAAGAAAAGTTACGTTAGCTATTAGCTGCCTTAACTTTGGCGTAAAGTTAAAATAACTAAATATTAGAAATAGTGTAATATTATTATGATTCATATATTGTCAGATTAATATAGAATTTTATTATAATATATACAATTCATGTATATAAATTGTATATACTATAATAAAGTTAACAATAATCATAGATATTAACACAAATAATATTTGTGTTAATATCTATGATTATTATTATTATCTATTAATTTTATCTATAAATTATTATGATGCATTTATATTTCAAATATAAATGCCATTTATATTTGAAATACAAATGCATCATAATATTTTTACAACTTAATAACTTAATAACATCTTGATATTTGTTACGTATAAAGTAGGTACGTGGACTGATTTTTTTAAATTAATTATATAATAGACTATTATATATCATTAGAAAGCCCTCAAATACAGTATTTTAAAGGTGAAAAAATTATGAAAATCAGACAATTCTATGAAAAGTTATAGCGTTTTTAGTAGCAAATTTTCGATATATGGATTTATTGAAGAAACTGGTTCCAAAATTATTTTTTTTCCCACTAAAATTGTTATAACTTTGTCAAATCTTATCCAAATGTCTATACCTTGGTATCAAAAGATAGATGTAAGAGTAGGCTACAAGTTCATATAATTCTATAAATAAAAGGGGTGTCTAGAGGGCCGGAGGGGGTAACGGAACACCCTCGTACCCTTAAAAAAATACAAGTTTTTCACACGAAAAAGTGTTTTTCTGATAAAATATATTATCTTTATACACAAAAAATTGTTCTAATTTGCTTCCATTCCATTTCCAAATATTAGTGGTCTATTTTAGATTAAAAAGTCCATGTCTTTGTTACGTTTTAACACCCTTGTAGTGAATTGTTCCATTCTCATAAATACTTTAACATAAAAAACACTGATTATATTTTGTGTTAAAAAGTTCAAATTGTAAATTTAAATTGTAAAAAACACTGATTATATTTTGTGTTTAAAAGTTTAAATTGTAATTTCTTACTATACAGCATTTAAAAGTGTTGTATTAATTGACTTCATGACTGGGATGTGTGGCTGGAACACCCTCTGCCTCTCCCCCAGTGTTCTCCAACCTAAAAAAAAATTTTAAAAAGAGATTCAAAAAAAGATTTTCAATTGAGTTTATTGAAGAAAAGAAGTTAGTATACAAGATTATTTTACTACATTAGTTAGGGGAGGGGCGTGTGTCACGACCAACGCCCCCTCCCCTCTTCTTATTCACACTTTAAAAAAATGTTTATAGAAATTTAAAAACGTTTTTCAATTCCATTTATTTAAAAAGACAGACATAACTTTACAAATCTTACCACATTATAAGATGTAAGATGGAGTATCCACCCTAAAAATAAGCCAAAGATAAAACAAATTTTATAACTTGCATTTAAAAAGTTACAAAACATTAAATATAATAAATTTGTCTTGGCTTTTAGTAAATGATATTATTTAAAATTCCAATAATGAAACTAAATAAATCACTTTTAACAATAGACACCAAGTGAAGGTAAGCCAGAGCCGTCTATCAAAAATATTTTGCAAGCTACACAACTTGCGGTACCATATTTGCAAGCTACACAACTTGCGATACTCCTTTTGCAAGCTACACAACTTGCTGTACCATATTTGCAAGTTACACAACTTGCGGTACTCCTTTTGCAAGCTACACAACTTACTGTACCATATTTGCAAGCTACAAAACTTGCGATACTCCTTTTGCAAGCTACACAACTTGCTGTACCATATTTGCAAGCTAAACAACTTGCGGTACTCCTTTTGCAAGCTACACAACTTGCTGTACCATATTTGCAAGCTACACAACTTGCGCTACTCCTTTTGCAAGCTACACAACTTGCTGTACCATATTTGCAAGCTACAAAACTTGCGGTACTCCTTTTGCAAGCTACACAACTTGCTGTACCATATTTGCAAGCTACAAAACTTGCGATACTCCTTTTGCAAGCTACACAACTTGCTGTACCATATTTGCAAGCTACACAACTTGCGGTACTCCTTTTGCAAGCTACACAACTTGCTGTACCATATTTGCAAGCTACACAACTTGCGGTACTCCTTTTGCAAGCTACACAACTTGCTGTACCATATTTGCAAGCTACACAACTTGCGGTACTCCTTTTGCAAGCTACACAACTTGCTGTACCATATTTGCAAGCTACAAAATCTGCGATACTCCTTTTGCAAGCTACACAACTTGCTGTACCATATTTGCAAGCTAAACAACTTGCGGTACTCCTTTTGCAAGCTACACAACTTGCTGTACCATATTTGCAAGCTACACAACTTGCGGTACTTCTTTGGTAATTTTTCAATATAATGTAAATATAATTAAAAACTGTTATACATAATATAAACTATTTTCATGTTCAAATATAAATTATAAAAATTTAAATAAAGTAGCATATAAATTATTTTTATATTCAAATTAAGAAAATACTAATTCTCCTGTTATAACATCAGCAGCAAGCTGTATTTTTTTCATCTTATATTCAACAGCTTCAATATCTGTTTCATCTTGAATCCAGTAAGAAATAGTGTAAATTCTGTCTTGTTGTCTCTTGTTTACTTTTTCTACTCTTCCATCATAAATAACTGTCTTTGAATAGTTGGCAACATACCATTCGTGACAGAGTTTTCTTCCAACAATTCTTTCAGACATAACATCATCTAAATCATCAAGTTGCTTGGCAGATAAGTGTTTATATAAATTCATTATTTCGCTGGTAGTTAATAGACATAGCTCACGCTCTAACTTTCTTTTTTGTTTTTCATCCATTTTTTGACGTTTAAACACCTGTCTAACAGAAATTTCTGTTCGAATTTCATTATGTAGTAGTCGAGATCTCATTCTTTTTTTACGTGCCATGTAAATAGACCACTTTACTACCTTTTCTCTAGACAACTCCTCAAGATTATCGAGATAATCTATAGTTTTATTCTTTTTGGATCTTAATTTGCTAGATATATAAGAAATTGTTGCATTGGGGCATCGTCCTTTGGCATCACTAAACATACCAACTAATTCTTCACTATCTATATTGTGAAGCCTTGCACTAGCTGTCTCTTTTTTGAGTTTTGCAGTAATGGAAAGAGAAAAATATCTTTTATACTGACGAGTCAAAACTTCATCAATTGCATTTAGACAAGCAGAAGTCATTTCAACAATTTGCTCATCAATGGGGCATAAAGCTGTAATAGATTGTAAAACATTTGGGGCAAGCGTTGTCCCAAAAAAATCTGTTTCTCTACAAAATAGTATAGCTGGATCAGATTTGCAATAAGTTATTTCTTTTAAAACATTTTTTACTACTTGGATACCAGTGACATGATCAAAACTTGCATCATCAGCTGATACATAAAACTTAGTCATCCATGGTCCACTTAGAAGTTTACTGAACAGCGCAAGCACTCCCATTTGTTTTATAGCTGTTGCATTGCAAAATGCTTCTCGCAGAATCGGTTGTAAACTGAAACATTTTACTGTTCCAGTGGTCAGATAATTTAGAAAATCAGTATAGTGTTTCATAAAAATGAAACAGGTATGGAAAAGAATGTGCAGGCGGTTACCACGATACCGTGGAATAATACCTCGCGGTAGTTTGTTATTGTCTAAAAAATTTACAAAACCTTGTGGATCACCTTTGCCATCTTTAAACCTCATCTTGTTTAGTGCTAACACAATTTTTACTGCCATACAATCACTTCCATACAATTTGCAATGTTCCAATTCTAGAGATTTCAAAACTTCCCGACATGAAATGGCAATTGTGTCTAGAGGGTGTAAATGACAGTTTAGTTCATTCAAATTCTTTCCCCAGGTATTACAAATTTTGGAAATGGTAAGATGATTAACCGACACCCTGTCAGACATTGTGTTGGATATATTTGATATGATTGAACTACGACATTCATTAAAGGGAAGCAAGTGAAAATCTGAATAAATAAAAGCTAAATGATCAACTGCACCACATATATGGCTTTCATAATCAACAGCTGTTCCACCTGGTAACTGGTCCAGAGCAATGACCTGACAGTTGTTTTTAGATGTCAGATGAACAGTGTTGATATGAACACCTTCTTGTGTTGTTGCATCGAATCCAAGTGTAAGATAAGAATTACTCATAGCCCATTCTGCTGCCTGCAGTTCTGCTATACTGCCAAGCTCACGAGCCATTTGTTCGATAGTACAACGATGAGGAATGTCCATAAAGTTAACACCCAAATACTGCCCAATTTTTGAAATTAGGAATTGAATATTACCGGTTGGAACATTGGCTAATAACATGCTATAAATTATCATCCTCATTTTTAAAGGGTAACTCTTATTGTCTTCTGACATATTAACATTTGGAATTTTCCCCTCTTTCATCTGGAAAATATCATTTTCTAATTGAGCAATTAACATTTTATTTGCCTTACCATCATTATTATGTTTTACTGTTATTTGCATTAAGTTTTGTTTTTCTTTTACTGTCAACGCCTTTTTTTTTGCTTTAAGATTGCGAAATAACCGACTGTAATGATAAGTTTTAATTTGTTTTTTTAGTTCTCTAACTTCTGTCCTTAAAGCTTTAATAATTTCTTCTTTCCTTTTTATACTTTTTTTGAATATTTTTAACTTATATGGCATGCTATTGTATTTCAATTTAACTTTTGCTACTTTTTTCTTGTAGTCTTTGGTTGAGATAGCTAACTGAGAAGACAAATAGGATAACCTAGTGATGAGTTTAGCTTTTTTGGGGGTTAGTTCTTCTCTAGATGCATGCTTTTTTTTATTTTCTATGGAAATTTCAGACGAAATTGGTGTGTCATTAACTAGGGGTAAAACAGCCATATGTTCATGGGATGACAGAACAGAAGACCCTGAAACAGTAATCAATGAACTAGTCTGATTAAGATCTATTGCCTTTTTCAATGAAATGTTTGGTGAATGGTATTCAAAGGGATGATTACAAAATTCAGTAAATTTTGAAAAACCCCTATCATAATTTTTAGCCAATTTTTTGGAAATGTTGATAACATTATAAAGTTTATGTTTACCAGTGTTAAAGCTAAATAACTGATTGACTTGTTTAAGAGTATTAACAATGGACTCACCGTTATTAATGAATAAAAGAATTAAATGTCCATTTTGACAGCGTGTAGGTGTTTCGCCATGCAAAGTAAAGTTTACAGCTAAATCCTTTTTCACTGCATCCGGAAACATAACTCCACTTTTTTTTGGATCTTTAAATCCTTTAAAAATATAAATATAAAGAGTTAATATACAATAGTTTTAATTAAAATTTTTGAAAAATAAACAAATATAGATTAATTTGTTAACAATTAATAACATAATAATACAACATGTAAAAAAAGTACTAAATAATATAGACTTAAAAAATCTCATACATACCTTCTACAAACAAGTAATGGTTACGTAAATATAATATTTAGAAACTGTAAACATAAGTTAAACTGGTTTAAAATCAAATAGTTAAACTAGTTTAAAATCAAATAGTTAAACTAGTTTAAAATCAAATAATATTACTTAACTCAAACAAACAGTAAATAAACTGAAAAAAAAAAAAAAAAAAAGATTAGTAATTAAGTATGCAAAAGATATTTCACATTAATTAACTCAATAAAAAATTGCACATAAATTTAAAACATTTAATATGGGCTATGAAATCTTAAAAAAATTCTAAACACCTTTAAAAGTTTATAACTATTTATAGTTAAAACTTTAATACTTTTTACAGTACAACTTTTAATCACATTGAAAAAATAAAAATTATTTCCCTTGCAAACTGTATAACAACTAATATTACACCTGTTAATGCTTCGTTTTTATAATATTATGGGTAAAAATTTTAAATAAATAATTCAAATATTATTAATTGTAAAAATTGTAAACAAATGAAAAACAAACTTGATGTTATATATTTATTTTTTAAAAAAACAGAAATGGTGGCGCCTAGTAATAGTGTATGCCACCATTCACGGTGAGGCCGCCACCATTCCTTCTTCGCCCACGACCTCCACCATGGCTTCCTCTTCTGCTGTAGCTCCCAGCACCCCTGTTAGGAGGATGATAGGCGCAGCTGAATGATTCACCATCATTCCCTCCTAACCGGACCCATCGCAAATATGATCGATTGCTAATCGGTCCAGGGTGCTGGTCCCTATATCTCCTATAGGCACCATATGTTAAGTCTAAATGACAATAAATAGTAACTACATTAGTGAGTGGCATTACATAAAATTTAATATAAACCAATTATTTGATTGGCTGCATAAATAAAATGAAGAAATAATAAATCAATGATAGCTTAAAAAATGTTGATTAAAATAAAAAATTAAATACTGCTCTGGATTTTACTTCTACTGCACTTTGAAGGATAACATAATACAAATGTATTAATTAATGAATATAAATAAAAACATTATGAATTAAATAATCATTTAGAAACATTTCTAAATCATAAATTTACCAGCAGAAGGTTGCACATCTTGTTGTGGAGGTCGTGGGACTAAAGGTAAAAAATCAAATTACAATTTATTTGCAATAGATAAGATAGGCATACACATATTAGAAACAATACTTTTACACATATATATTATGCATACACATATCAGAAAATAATAGTTTATAAACTTACCATTTGTAGCAGCTGAAGATGTAACTAAAGATTAATAAAGTTGAAATAAAAATAAATATTGCGAAGAAATGCCAAGAAATGCATAAACAGATTGAAAAGTAAAAGTTTGTGAACATACCAATTATAGCAGATGTAGATGGAACTAAATTTAAAAAAATTGTAATAAAAAATAAATATTGCAATTGATCCAAAATACATACATATATGAACAGGTTTTTTGAAGGATGCTATAAAAATATTTTTAAGCTTACCACTCAATGCAGTTGAGGATGGAACAAGAACTAAAAAGTTTATAGAAAAAATAAATTTGCAATTGTCAAGAAATGCAAACATTAAAAAGTAGTAATTGTTAAACTTACCACTCATTGCGGATGAAGATGTTGCTAAAAGTAAAAACAAGTAATAAAAAATAAATTATGCAATTGACGACTTTGAAATTGGTATTAAATTTATTTACAGATTAAAAAGTACTAGCTTTTAAAATAACTAACCGAGCAACTAATAAAGTAAAGACCAAAAATAATATAAATTAAACCAAGATATACATGTTAATATTTGATATTCAAGTTATACTATACAAACTTACAAGTGGTAGGCTGGGTAGATCGAACTAAAAATAACAAAAAAAAGTGTATAATTACAACAAAACGCTATGCAATTATGAAAGTAACTATCATAGTTCTGTGGAAGATGCAACAACTTTATTAACATAATGAAAACTAACAGTGAAAATATAAAGAAAATACTTTAATAAACAACAAGCTAACATTAGGAATGGTTATTCACTTTGTTTATATATTAATTACGTTATATTGGTTGTGGTTATATATAAAATATGTGATTTATACTTACGATATCTCAAAAAGGCTTCATAATGAGCAGCAGGATCTAAACAACATGCAAACATTAGGCATGCTTGTATTGTGATTTAAATAATAATCCACAGATAAAGAAGTATACAATCCAAAAATAATAAAAGATGATAATAAGTTGATAAATTTTTTCATATTTAAAAATAGTAACAAGTCTTTTGCAAGGAATAAACCAATGAAGTATCTGATTTGTATACTTATTTATATGTTTTGTCTTTATAAAATTGTCAACAGATACTATTAGTTAACAATCCATTTAAAAGCCAAAGTTTTAGACTGAAGCATTAATCTTCTTTTTTATGTAACATATAAAAACAGATTAGGAATTAATCTGTTTTTATATATTACATTAAAAATCAAAAAATATTCATAAATGATTTATGAATATTTTTTGATTTAAAATAGTTATTATTGATATTTTTTTAAAAAAATTAAACTTACTACCTGTTAGGGATGCAAGTAGAGTTTTGTCCTCAGAGTTCATGCTTTATTTTAATCTAATAATAAAAATCAAAATAATACAAAATAAGGATTAATTTTTTTTTTTTTTGTAAAGTCGGCCCCCCTATCCGCCCCCGTATTTCGCTTAACAAAAAAAACATCAGAAAAACCAAAATTAGGTACCAAATGTTCTACACTAATTAAACTATCTGCGGAGCTTTATTTTTAGTTGAAATTTGGCATGTGCATAGAAAATACATGTAGAAAATTATCTGAATCATAAAAAAAGGGGGATCAACATTTCTTCGACTAAAAATTCATGTGAGAACATCAACCAAATTTTTATGCAAAGTTTTTGGCAAAATAATCCATAAAAAATTATACTAACCAAACATATTAGTCATAAAATATCAAGCTTAACCTTTTGTCTTTTAAAAATAATATAGGTTTGTATATGTTTCTGATAAGAATCACCACAAAAAAATGTTTGGCTAGGACTACCTAAAATTAGTAGTAAACTTAGTATAACACTAATTAAACTATCTGCGGAGCTTTATTTTTAGTTGAAATTTGGCATGTGCATAGAAAGTGCATGTAGAAAATTATCTAAATAATAAAAAAAGGGGGATCAATACTTCCACTACTAAATATTCATGTGAGAACATCAACCATATTTTCACGAGCAAAATAATCCATAAAAATGCTAAGTAACCATACATAAATGTCATATATAAATCAAGATTAACTTTTCTTCTTTCAAAAAAGTATCTATGTGCATATATGTTTCTAAAAAGAAACTCCATAAAATTACGTCTGCCTCATGCTGCCTAAAAAAGAGTTAAAAAATCGAGAACCAATATTTTAGCATAAAAATCGGTTCCGTAAATCGCGATTTCCGCGTACCTATATAAAGTGTTTACTTATTTATGTGTGTTTATTTACATATATGTACATGTGTGATCGTGTATATGTATTGTGTGTATGCTTGTATATGTATACATGTGTGTATGTATATGTATGAATGTATGTGTTTTGCGTATATGTGTGCATGTGTTTGTGTATGTATGTATGTGTGTATGTATGTATATATGTGTATCATAGACACATATGCATAAATAGGCGTGTGCATATACACATATACATATGTGTGTATGCGCGCACTGGACATACATACATTCACATACTTTGTGTATGTGTGTTTGGTGTGTGTGTCTATGTGTGTGTATGTATGTATATGTTTGTATGAATATCTATGTATGTTTGATTGTGTATGTGTATGTGTGTTTATATATATATATATATATATATATATATATATATATATATATATATATATATATATATATATATATATATATATATACATATATATATATATATATATGCATATGTATATATATATATATATATATATATATATATATATATATATATATATATATATATATATATATATGCATATATATAAACACGCGTATATATAGATTTGTAGGTCATCATGTTTTTGTCAGTTATATAACTGTTTAACAAACCAAAACATTGTGTATTATAATATCATAGTATTATTGTTATATTTTTGTATAATATGATCAATTTATTATCTTATAGTTGTAATATATATTATACGTTATATTATGTTATATTAATAATATAATAACATTATATAGTAATATAATAATATGATCATAATATAATAATATGTTATATTAATAATATAATAACATCTTAATATAAATAAATTAAATACATTAGGTATAACTTAATTAATAATATAACATCTTAATGGTTGTCATAAAGATGTTATATCAATATTTATTTATAATATCACATCATGATGCATGTAATTTAAATATATTCGGGTCCTATTATTAATAGGGCCCGAATATATTTAAATTACATGCATCATGATGTGATATTATAAATAAATATTGATATAACATCTTTATGACAACCATTAAGATGTTATATTATTAATTAAGTTAAACCTAATGTATTTAATTTATTTATATTAAGATGTTATTATATTATTAATATAACATAACATCTTATGCAACATAATAGTAACATTGTTATATAAAATAATATATTATAGTATATTGTATATTATTTGGATTATATTTTAAAAGATGCTGTATTGTTATAATGCAGTTATGATTTTGGTAATATATATAATTATTGAATTATTATATTCATAAAAAAAACAACTATATCTTTATAAATATTAATAAAACACTATATATTTACAAAAAAGCAAGTATATCTTTATAAATATTCTATTTCACAGTTTTTTGTTATATGGTATGTGTCTCATTAAGTTTAACTATCATAGTTCATTTAGTTGTTTTAATAGCTTTATTTTGTTTTAGTTTAAATAGAAATTTGATTAATTTGGTCAAGATCAAATCTAGCGTTAAGCTCAATATACTGCTTTAAACAATTACTCTGTTGTAGAATGTGTTAAAAAATCTCATTTGTATAAAAGTATATAGAAGTATATAAAGCCAACACATTAACAATGATTTGTCACCAAGCATATTGAGGAGCAACCCAATTTCTTCAGAAGCAAAAATGTAACTGAGAGTTTTTAAGTTAACTGGGAGTTTCAAATAGTAATTGGTAAAAACTACTAGTCAATTCAAAAAAAGAATAATTTTTATTTTTTTCTATTTTTGAATTAAAAAAGACATTAGAATATAATCCTAATGCAGATTTCCTTTTTGCTTATTAACAGTCATGATTGCACCATTTAATCAGCCAACTACACCAAAAAAAATCTATTTCAATAAAGTTCACCTACAGATAGATAGTAATGTGGAGCAATCCTTTGATCATCTCAAAAGCCATTGGATGTCACAAGAGACGTAAAGTACTTCAGTGCTCCTAAACATATGCTTACCCAAACAATATATTGCAAAATATAATTTAAGTGTAAGTTACTGGAAAACTTTTACAATTCCTTAGGATTAGAAATTCCAGAAGACATAAACTTTGAGGATAACAACGAAGATGATGTACACTATGTTCATGTTGAATTAACACAAGTCAAACAATTCGACTTGGCATTGTACAAAGAACACTAGTTAAAACTATGTTATTAAATTAAAGGGGATATGGGGATATATATGATTTACATGATATTTATGAATGAAAAAAATTAAAGTTTTTTTATTATTTATTAATTGCATATTAAACAATTTAAAAATTTATCTGCCCTTAATAACCTCTTTGTAGAATAATCAATTCTGAACCCTCTCTACCTTTTTTCAACTTGAAACTATTTTCCTAATATTTATAATTTTTTTTTAAAAACAAATATTCAATAAAAAGTATTTAGTTTTTACAGCAAAGTTTATAAAAATATTATTGTCATTTTATTAGGGTGTGAAAAATGTTAATTAGTAATAACCCCTAATTTAAGTTAGTTAGAAATTTTATGAATTCAATATTAGAAAAGTTTGTTTTATAAAATTACGAAAACTTGGTTTATTCAAACAAAAATTAACTTGGTTGATTTTTGCGTAAGTTTTTGCGTAAGTTTGGCGCAACTCGTGCGCAACCCTAACTTTACAGAAATGCTGCTAAACATTGGTGAATACCAAAACTACGCTGAACTTACGATTTCCGTAACCTTAGTTGAGCTACGCAAGATTTACGAAAGTTTGGTGAATCCGCACCCAGATAAGTCATACAAGAGTAGCAACTTCCATAAACTGTTATATTCTAAACTTTTGTCAAACCATGCTAGCCTACTAAACTAATGCGTATCTAACCAAGTTTGACAAAAAAACTTAAATGAAGGTAAAAAGAGAGGGCAATTATAAACATTAGTTTGTGTAGCTAGGGGCCGTTGCTATAGTAAAGTTATCTGATAAGGTCTAAATAAAGTGAAATACCTCAAAAAATACTTAAGATATATAAAAACAAAATCCAGAAACAATTTCAGCAATGTTGAACTACTACAAAACAAAAAGTAATCTCAAAAACCAACTTTTGATAAAAAAAAATTTTTTGGTGGTGAACCACCTTAATTTCATAGATTATATTTTATTATTAATTATAAAATACTTTTTATTATTAATTATAAAATCTTTTTCATTTAAATGTTTAAAGTAATTATATACCTTTAAACAAATCGGCTTTTATTCAAAAAAAACTGTTTCTCAAAATTAAAAATGAAATTTTTAATTTTTAAGTTTAGAGGCTTAGTCCAGTTCAAAATTTGATGTTAAATATCTGACCAACAGTTGTCCAAAAATCTCATTAAATGTATAAAAAAATTCCAATTATTCTTTGTTTAAAAAGTCACATAAAAACTTTTATTTACTCTTTGTTTAAGGGTTGTTATTGCTATGCAAAAAGGAAACCACTTGTAATTCCAAGCGCAGATTAATTAATTTAACTGACGCATTTATTGTTCAGAAAATATATTTCCCATAATTAGTTTTCAATTAACTTTTTAATTTTACAAACATCGAGTGAAAAAATTTGCTAATTAATCTTTTCTACAGACTGAAGATTAAACGAAATCTGACAAACGTTTTACTTTATAATTTAATACAGGCATAATTTATTTTTCAGCTTGAGAACTCGTCGATTAACAGTTATATATAACAGTAATGTATGAGTTTAAAAAAAAATTATAACCTAGATTCTGATTGCTAATGCACGGTAAAAGTGATGTAGTGTAAGGTTTCGTTTATTTATTGAGGTTGCTAGTTATTGTTTATTTTATCAAAGTGTAAAGAAAAGAATTTTAAGCTCAAGATGAACATAGAAAGAATCATTGAATACTCTGTCGGCAAAATAGTTTCTCATGAACTACGAAAACAGAAAACAAACAGAATTTCTTCATCACTAGCGCACTTATTATCAACTAAAAAAAATAAAGGTACTAAATACGAACCATTTTGGAACCACGATGAGTTCATGTCTAACATGAAAAAATCAATGCGTTCTAAAGCAATTACTTCGGATATTGCAGATAGGCTACACCAGAGAAGAAACGCTTTTACTGAATCTTGTGATACAGAGCGTAAGCTTTTAATGAGAATAGTGTTTGATTTACTGCGTGGATATCACATTCAAAACATCATCAGTTCATAAACTTATAATAAACTGATGAATGATGAACCTACTCGTGAACAAATAAAATATATAAATAAGGTATAAATTTTAATAAACAATGAGGTTTATAATACATAAATGAACAAATTGAAAACATTTGATTTCTTTATTTCGTTTAGTTTATTTTTATGATAAAGAAACACAAAACTCGTAAAACAGATTAAAGGAGCTTTTTGAAACCGTCCATAAATTATGCAACGCTAAATTTAAATAAATCAAAAGTTATAGTAGCGGTTTAAATTAAATCAAAATCGCCGCGTAAGAAAGCAAATGATCTCCTACTTCTACCTTTTAAATAATATTAGCGTTGCATTATTTGTGGGCGACCGTTTATATTATTAATTGTTTCACATTTTAACTTTGTGATAAAGTGTTATGCTTTGAATGTTTTTTAAATTTTTTTAAAATTTTTTGTTTGATTGTGACTCAATACATTTTATACCATAATAAACGTTTGTTATTAGTTTAAAAAGTAACCAAATAATTAGACAACTCCCAAGGTCAGGAAGATTAATAACTTGTAACACCCGAGTAACTTTCATTGTTGGGCCGATCACATTTTTTGGTAGTTGGCGTAACTGCATTGAAGTTCCAGTTTTTGATTAAGCTTGCGCAACTTTATTTAATTTGCATTTTTTAGATACAGTTTTGTAACTTTCACCGTTCAGCATTCTTATATTTTAAAATGTTACTTGTTACACTCTGAGGCTATCAAAAAGTTATT